GGTAGTTTTTTAAATTAGAGATCTTTTTTTCTGTTTTGGAGAACTCAGCAGGGAAAAACACAGACCCCTGAGACAAAAAGGACTGAGCCCCACGTTCAGTTCAGGGCTTAGTACCCAGCAGATGTTGCATGAATGTTTGTTGAATGAATAAACGAATGGAAGCGTGCATAGCTGGTGAGGTGGGTGGAGTGCTCCCAAGTGAAGGCCCCTTTCTCCTAAGGCAGTCGCCTCATCTGTCCATCTTTGCTTTGTAGTGCAGAGCTCTGCCTTCTTGTCCTTCCAGAAAAGGGTTTTCCTTCAAGACTTACTTTCTTTAGAGCAGCCTCCACCCTGAACACTCTGAAACAATCATTTTGCCTGTTCTAAATCGGAACTTCACCTGTTCACTCTTGTGCCCTCAAGGTAGGCTGTGAGCCAGTGGCAATAATAGTGTGAAGATATACAGAATAGTGTGAAGGTATCCCTGGTCTCACTTATATAACGATCACTTTTCTTTTTCCAAACATAAATGTTATTTTTTATTATTTCAAAATTGTTTTCTATTTTCACAAAAGTAATGTAGGCATACAGTCAAAAAATACTAAAGGTTTATTATGAACGATAAACCCTCTTCTCACTTCTTCTTTCCTCATTTGTTTACACAGTGAAGTCACTATTTTTGGTTAAAGTAATTATTGATATTTACATTATATTTTATGCATTAAGAATAGCGTTCCCTGCAGAACCAGCAACAGCTAACATTTATTGAGCATTTACTATTGACTAGGCATGTTTTCATGTTATAGTTCATGTGACTGTGTGTGAGATCAGGTACCGTAAATATATCCATTTTACAGATGAAGAAACCAACCACAGAAAGCTTAAATCACTTGCCCAAGGCCATAGCGCTGGGCATTCTAGCTCCAGAGGTAAGCTCTTAGCCACTGTAAATGCTCATCTGTGGAAAAGTCCTACCACGTAAGGAAATAAAGATCCTAGGCAAGAGTTTGAAGTTGTACCAGGATTTGGGGACTCAAATTTAGTTATCTCCGAAGACAGAATGTTCAGTGGAAAAGCCCCAGGGGAATAAGTTTAGGCTATAAAGCAGAATAGTTTGTTTGTTTTTGTTGGTTTGTTTGTTTTTGTAAATACTTCTCTTATCACCTTTCCCAAGCTCTCATATTTTCCTGGGCATAGAATAATAATTAGTCCACCAGAGGACCTTCATGCAGATTCTGGACGAAGAGGCCGTCCATGGCATTTCATTAAGGTGCCCAGATAGATGCTGGACTATTTTGAGCTGAGGATATGAACACAGAACTTTTGAAATTGGAATAGTCCTGGAAAAGATGGGATTTATCATTATAGATGTATCACTGATCAAAAGAAGGCTGGGTGAGAAGGTATGAAAGTAGGTGCAAATTTCACCAGTTTAGGAAACAACTGTAGCCCTGGCCGGGTGGCTCAGCTGGGTAGAGCAACTAAGGTGGTGGGTTCAGTCCCAGGTCAGGGCACATGTAAGAAGCAATCAATGAATGCATAAATAAGTGGAATGACATATAATTTTTAAAAAACAACTGTAAGATTTATTCTTACCTCAGAGAGCAGCATATATTGGGGTCTTCTGCTTTCTTCTTTCTTCCCCATCTAATATGTACACTTAGGACAACTGCTAACTTTTTTAATACTTCTGGTGTTATAAACTCATCCAGCACTCATCTCCACCTGGTTGACTCCTTTCCAAGTCGGTTCTGTTGATTACAAAAGTAACCTTGTCACAGATCTATCTGGGAGATCTGGGATAGGACCAGGATCCAGAAGACGGGAATTCCATACTCACCTAAAGCCAGTCCAGCCAATGGATCCCCTCCCAGCTCTAAAAACGTACATATATAGAATATACTTTACATCAAAAGTGAGGTGCCGAGATTTGGTGGGAAATGGTGTTTTCAACGTGATGGAGCCACCACAAAAACAATTGGCCCCTCTCTGATGTCACCTGAGGAATGAAATGCTAGAAATGCCACCAAGGCGTTGCTTTTCCCCAGGTCTTTTGGGGCTCGCCCAGCTTGCAACTGCCTGCATAGGAAGGACTGGGGAGTGGCTTCGGAATGGGGTGTCGGCTGCTGTTCCTGACGTGGGTTTGAATAAGTCCAACAGGAAGAGAAGGAAAACTGTGAACAGGTGTGCGGGAGCTGGAGGAAGGCAGTCCCGCTTCCCCCTCCTCTTAATCAAGTTGGCTCAGTGTTCTGCTCCTAGGACCTTGGGGCTGGGGACAGTGGCCATGCTAATTGCCTCCAGTGTGGGATCTGATTAAGGGGGCCTGCGGTCCCACGTCGGTCCCCCTGTGCCTTAAACAAAGGAAAACTGGATTTCTATAGAGGTGTTTTCACTGTCACAGCCCAAAGTGCTCATTCGCCTGCACAGAGGCCTGTTGGCAAGCGCACGTCCTGATGGCTGCGTCGCCATGGAAATGTGTGACACATTTGTGATGAGTTGTCTATTTCCAGATGGACATCTTCATTCCTTTGAGAAATTCGACAGACCATTTTCGCGTATTCCCTTTGCACAAACTGGCTTATCTAAGGGTCTTGCAGGCTCTTTTGTTTCCTACCAGGATGACTTCTGTGCAATGTGTGTAAGTAATGGTGACAGGCCTGGCTTTGTGGTCGTGGCTGTTTGTTTTTCCTTTCTTCATATCCAATCACAGTACGTTCCTCCGACACAGCATTGGCCAGCCAGCCCTGGTTGTTAATGACACGCTCAATCCTATCCCCTTTCTCCGTTAGTGATGATTCTGTGTTGACGTTAAAAGAAATTCTGTATTTGGGATAATGCTGCTTTGAAAGTGATGTAGCCAGCAGCTTTTCCATTTCACTGAAGAAAAATATTAGAAAAATATTAATAGTGTGTCTGCTTCTTTCAATTCGGTTGTGTTCCCCGGAGGGATGAAAAGAGTGAAGACTGAATATTGCTAGGGTGCTCGGAGAGCAGCGGGCTGTGGCCTGGCAGAGATACCTTTTGCTGTGCAGCCAGCAGAAGGGCCATCTTTTGGAAGTTCTTTCAGAAGGTTGCTTCGGTTCTAAAACGTGCTTTTCCCAATCTATCATATATGAGTGTTTGGGCCTTATAGACAAAAATCATACGATCCATTGGAGTTGTGTTAAAACATATACTGTGCGTGTGTGTGTGTGTGTATAATTTATAATTAAGTAATTAGAGATTCACCATAAGTAATTAAGATCACAGTTTGGATCAGTTGAATGTTAGTAATTATCCCAGTGAACCATGGTTTATAAATATTAATGTCCCAAACTGAAGTTAAGGAAGCCCACCTTAACTATTATTTTTCCCTTTATTTTTATCTCTTTAATTATATTGGAAAGATAATTTGTCAGTGTCCTTTTATTTTATTATTAACAACTGCTCTTCCTAATTCTGAATAAATAATACAGTGCCGATTTTATTAATTGACTTTCACTTTTTTCCTCTTCTGAATACCAAATCAGAATGCAAAATTCTTGTGCGTTGTAATTGTGGATCAGAATTCACTGATTAACTTGTTAGCACGCTTAGGACTTGGTATCTCTAAAAGGCTCATTACTGTAGCCTCACCAGTCTCGCCAACTTCTTTAGAAAGCAGCAGAAGCAGTAACTACCTTGAATTGTCAGGTGGAAAACCCAATTGGCTTAGCCATTAACATGGATTCTTTATTCAGATATATGCACATGTATTATTTTCAAAAGGATGAAAACTTTGAGAACCATTTGAACAGCATACTTACTTGGAGAAAAGTTACTATAACAAATGTCTTTGGGGGGCAGTATACTAAGGGATAGGACAAGGAAGCCTGACACGATAAAGGAAATGACATAAATAATCAAGAAATTATATAAAAAATTGTCATTATATCAAATTAATCATAGGCAATAAGAAAAGGTATTGCAACTTCCTGAACTGATATACAAACTCCTTTAGTGACTGATATTTTCAGATAGCCTGTCATCAACATTATTTCATGCCATATGCTAGGCAATTATCAGTTTGTTGAAATTTTCCAGTTCCATAAGTTCTGTGATGTTTTCCCCCCGACAAATTGGACTAAAGATGACTCAAAGTCACACATATTTTTTACCTAGTTTTGCCCAAGTCATATCCTGTTGACAGGATGATGAAAATGTCATCATCGTCGTCACCGAACCTCTACCCTGAAAAGAGCCTTAGCTACAAGTTTTCCTGAGTTTGTCTCATGATGTTTGTCAATATTTAGATTTCTTGTACTCTCTCTTTGGCTGTTGTGAAGTCTAGGTCTCACCATGACCCACTGTGCTTTCCAGCCTTGAGTGATGTATCCACCTGTAGATCCATTAGATATTGCGGCTCTTCATGCATGTGACTTTACAGAGAGATTAAATTAAAGTGTGGGGGGGTGTAGAGCATGTGAAATCATTGCAGACTGCTCCACATTTAATATGGGGATTACAAATAGGAAGCATTTATTTCCCACTTGTTTATATCTATTTGTTGATCAATTGAACTCTTTAGTCTTAAATAGTACTTTGTTTTTCCAAAAGAGAGAACTTAAGTGTAAATGAACTGCTGAAAATTGCCACCACTGGTATTTGGAACTCATATTCCCATAAAGAAAATATTAGTTCATAAGAAGAAACGTCTTCCTTAGACCATGATGTGCTATGTGCTACTGTGTGCAGATCCCAGATAGTTTTAGAGGTGGAATAACCTGTTTCCTCTGCCACCATTTGCTCTCTGTAAAAGAAGCAGGCACTGCTACTGTTACTGTCTGTCTTTGTAGGTGCTGAGCTTTCCCGGGTAGACCGAGGAGAGCGCCTCCTGGTAAAAAGAGGCTGGCTAAGCTCAATCCAGACGATTTCAGATGAGCCCCATAGAAAGGGCACAGGGAAAAGGTGCTTCACAAATTACACTATTGGGCCTTTCTCGCTGACTCTCTCCTACCTTTGTGAAAAAGTTATAAAATGTCTTTTCTTTTTTTGGTACTCAGATGAGTATAGGATCAAACCGGTGGAAGAAGTCAAATACATGAAAAATGGGGCCGAAGAGGAACAGAAAATAGCAGCCAGGAACCAAGAAAACTTGGTAAGAATTGAATTTCTCATATAGCAATGCATTTTGGGGACACCGTTGTAATAAAAATCTGCACTGCGCATTTAAATGGCAACTCACACACTGGGCACAAGATTTCTTGAAAATGCTGCCACTATTTTTAGCTTGCCTGGAAGCCAACCGTGACTCCTGTATCCTGTTTGTGCCTGAATAAGCCCTTCTTTAATCTTGATAGAGAACGTTCACTCCAGGGGAAACAATAGCAAAATTATTAGTGTTGTAAAATGGTTCGATTTAAAGGGAAAAGCATGAAGGAGGGTTGAGGTTTATGGGGAGAGGGCCATTCTTTACTTTTTCCCCAGCTCCTTTACCTCTTATTCAGGTCAGGGTGAATGGCTGTTTCCATTATTCTGGACATGTAGTGTGTTGGGGAAGTTGCCTTTCAAGGGAAAATAATGTACTTTGACAGTAGGTCTGAAAATAATGTACTTTGACAGTAGGTCTCTATCGAAATAGTATTTCACATTCATAATGTTAATGGCATTGTGGGTTTTGAGTCAATGTGAGAACTGTAATGACCTGAAACAGAAAGGTAGGAACCTTTTCCGTTAATGTGAATCAATAGACATGTTCCAACTTCTTATTCCATCTCTATAAAAATATTTAATTATTGTCATAGTAGGTGATTTCTTAAAAGAGGTCACAAATGGTTAAGTATATGCATTTATTCAAGTGTGCTAGAGCAAAATTGCTTTTATGTTTTATTGTGGGATTAACTATTTGCTACTTTTTTCATGTTCAAGTGAATGTACTTTTAAGAAGCTTACAATGTCATGAAATATTTTCACTTGACTTCAACTCCTTTTTCCGGGATGTGCTTTGTTTTTATGACTTCTGCGAAAGCAGAGGGAGTTGGCAGAATATTAACCAGTGCTCGCGAGTATCTAAAGTTGTTACTGTCCACAATACGCTACTGAGCATAATGGGCTAATTCTTCTTTCTCTACTCTGTTCTGAACACCTGATCTACAACTCAACATCCTGAAGTATCAACACTGACCATTTTAGGTCACTTTAAAGGAGTGAAAACACTTTATAAAGAAATTTTGCTTCAAAAATGGGGATAGGAGCCGGGTGGACGGGGTCCATGGGGTAAAAGGGGGGACATCTGTAATACTTTCAACAATAAAGATAAATTTTTAAAAATGGAATTTGGATTTGAAGGTTTCACTGAGCCACAGAGAGTCATCATACCTATGGTATATTTTAACATTGACACTTAAATACAGAAAAAAGAGCTGTGATTAAATAGTGAAAGTTAGTATTATCAGACTTTTTACAGGAATTTTTTTTACCCTGAATAGATAAATAGAAGACCTAAGCAGTTGAAGCATCAGTAGTCATTTTTCTACTTTACTGAAAATCAGAGTTTCTCCTTGCTTGATGTAATTTCGGCTTGATTTATGAATCTCATCTTTAATAATAATACTTCCATTGGAGGCTAAAGACACTGGTGACCAGCCCGACAGTGGCCCGTTTCTTGGATCTAACTAGTGTCCATTCCTACTTCCCATGCTTGCATTTCTGACACCTCAGGCAAGAAGTGACCTTTATCTCACAGCTTGTGAGTTTTCCCTCAATGTGCTCTTATCATATTTAGGCCAAGTCAACATTTTTCCTTTCCTCTTAGTGCTAGTGTATCTTTTTCCAGCACTGTGGCCAGAATCTTTGCCAGTGCTTTTTCTCTGCAGCCTGAATGGAGATTCAAGGAGAGAGAAATTCTGGTCTCACTTACTTGTGGATCATCTGTGACAAGCCCACACCCCTTTACTCTGCCCGCCAATCGAGTCCAGGGCTCTAACAGCAGTTCTCAAGTGTGTCAAGACTTCCACAGAGAATGGAGAGTAAATGAGTATCTCTGATTCTGAGACTTCTAGACTGCTTTCCAACTTTAAGTGATTTTCAGCTATCTGGGAGTACGTCATCGTTGTCACCTACTCCGTCCTTCGGGATGCATAATCAGGTATTGACCTGATTGCTTGAGAAAACTAATAGCTTCCTAAAATTGAAGCTTACATTGGAAGGTGAATGAAATAGATTTAACTATTCTTGATTTTTACCTCCATTAAAATAATCGAAGTCAAGACATTTTTATGTTTCAAAGAATGATTTTATTTAAGATGTAGGTCAGAGTATTTTCTTTAAAAAAATTTTATTCAAACTGTTGAAAATAAGGGGCACAGCAAAAATAACCAAGGTAGGATGACAGTGGGCTCTGGAAAAACTCCCTGAGTTCAAATCTCAGCTCTGACACTTGATCCCTCATTGCGGAATCAAGTTACTGCTCTAAACCTCCCACCCATCAAGTGGAGAAAAAGACAGTGCCTCCTGGTGGTGCTGTTTGAGGGATTACATGAGATGTGCATTGTAAGACCTTGAGTGCAATGCCTGGTGCATGATAAGCACCTGATAAGACTTAGGCCTTAACATATAAAACAAAGGATAAAAATAAAAGATATTAGAGTCAGCGTGTCTTTCCTTTTTCCTTTAGTGAGTTGGTGAGAGATTGCTAAATGAATACTTTAAGTTAATGCCAGTGCTACACACATTTTGAAAAATCTTGCTCTGGAACTATGAAATTATTTAAACAAATATGTTCTGTGCACCTGTTATGTGTAAAGACGTAACTTGTATTGAGAGACTCAGGAAAGTTGGGAGAACAGTTCAGTTCAACGCATATTTCCTTGATCGCCTCTGTGTACAAGGCTCTGTACTAGGCTGCAGAAAAATAGAAAATCAGGGAAAGCACTGACCTTCACCTCCAGGCACTGTGTGGCGGTGGACAAGGTGAGCACCGAAGGACTATAAATAAAACAGGGTGAAACTGATTCCAGCCGAGAGGACTGCTGATGTCAGAGGAGGCAGAGATCTGTCTGTTGGGGTANAGGGAAAGCACTGACCTTCACCTCCAGGCACTGTGTGGCGGTGGACAAGGTGAGCACCGAAGGACTATAAATAAAACAGGGTGAAACTGATTCCAGCCGAGAGGACTGCTGATGTTGGAGGAGGCAGAGATCTGTCTGTTGGGGTGTCTGGCCCCACTTCATGGAAGAGCTGGTATTTCCAGTGGGCCTCAAAGGACAGAATGAGGACAAGTGCCCCAGGCAGAAGTAACAGAGCTGGGAAACGCAAAAGAGATTTAATAAAAAGCTCCTAGTCCTGTTTGATTGGGGAATCGGAAGGAAGAAGAGAAGGTGACAGTAGGGTAGCGGTGGGAAATTAGAATCAAAATGCAGATGAGGTAATAGCCTCGGTGTCCGGGTCTGAAATTAATTCTGTGGACTCAAGGGAGCCCTTGAAGGCTTTCAGCGAGAGCTTGGCATGATGAGATTACGATTCGGGAAAGATTGTGTGGCAGCAGCAGTGTGTATGGATTGGCGTGGGACGCCCAGGTGGGAGACCATGCAGAATAGTTTTTGCCAGAAGCCATGAACCACAGTCCAGGTGGTGTCAGGGAGAACAGTAAAGGTTTGGACTGGGTTGCAATCGAAGCAACAGCATTTGACAGCTCATAGATATTAACAAAAAAGCAGAGGAATCAAGAGATAATGGGAATGCCAAGATCATAACATCCCCCCCTCCCCTGGAAAGGTGACTGGTGGTGGCAAGAATAAATAGTATCCTCAATGAAATGAGATAGTCACTATGAAGACTGTGTTTGCTGGAAATACAAGGGATTTCTTCCTTCATTCCTTAGTTATTCATTATTCACTGTTGCCCACCCTTAGCAAGATCACAGGGTCGTCCACAGGAGAGAAAGTTAAGCCACTGATCACACGGCGATGCAATAGGTACGGTAACAGAACATCTGTGCTTTGGAGGACTCAGAGGCCCTGCAGACATAAATCTCACTCTAGGGAGCTCACTTTCTGGTAGCAGTTAGAAGGCACGTGACCTAAATGACCACAATTCAGGGAACGTTGTCAATGCAGAAGTTGGTTTTGAACAAATAAAGCCTTAGGAACTTGCAGAACATCTATGCGGAGAAGTCTAGCAAAGGGCAAAAATGAGGGTGTGGAGCTCAGGACCAGTGCCTGAGATATAGCAGGTGTTCAGTATATGTTTGTTTGCTTGAATAGATGGGTGAATGAATGAATAAGAGTAGTTGGCCCCTAGTAGTTTGCTCAGTAGTATTTTTTAAATTTTTATTAATTCATTTTTAATTATAATTGACATACAGTATTATATTAGTTTCAGGTGTACAACATAGTGATTCTACATTTATATACCTTACAAAGTGATCACTACAATAAGTCTAGTGGCCACCTGTCACCATATATAGTTATAATAAATAATGTTAACTGACTATTCCCCTTATCCCCATGACTTATTTTATAACTGGAAGTTTTAGATCTCCAGTCACTTTGGCCCCATGGCCGCAGTGGATGTGGGTGGAGGAGATTCATGCTGGTTTTCTGAGGCTGACGAGGAATCATTTATATGTCAGTCATTTATGTACTCTCTACAGAGATGTGCATTTATCCCAATTCTCAGCATCGCTGGGCATTGTACATTCTGCTTTACTCCTCTCGGACTTTAATTCCTTCTTAAGAAAGGTGGTGTGAGTTGGAGATAATATATAGATATATGGCAATATGGGTCTTGGCTTCATCGTTTCTAGCTTTATAATTTTGGTCAGATATTTAAAGCTTCTGAACTTCAAGTTCTTCCTTTGGAACCTGGGAATAACAAAAATTATTATATTAGAAGGAAGTATAGGATATGTTTAGAATCTTCAACGAGACATGGAAAGCAGAAGCTATGGAGAAATAAAAGTGGCTTATTTCATTAGATCAAAATTAAGTGCCTCTATAAAATAATCAATACCTGAAAAAGTAGTTAATAGATAGGCAGCAGCCGGGAGAAAAATATTTATGACATATAAGTGGCAAAAGATTAATATCTGGGGTTTATGAAGAACACTTGTAAATAATTAAGAAAAAGATAACCCATTAGAAAAACAGGTAAATGAAC